TATATACTGTATATGTATATACTGTATATGTATGTATGTATATAATGCTAGTGATTAATTAAGGACACTCCTTCCATTTCTGAGGCTGCGGTTCAATCTCAACTCTGTCCCCTGTACTTGCATGGGCTTTGTAATAATAATAATAATAATGACAATAATAAAAATTTTCTTCCTCTCACATTCGCAAAACATGCATTTTAGGTGAAATGAAGACTCTTAATTGATCACATGTGTGAACGTGAGTTTAAAAGATCAAAGATTGTTCTTCTACGTGTGTCCTGCTATTAGCTGGCGACCAGGGTGCCTTTTGCCCCGAGTTGGGATTGGCGTCCAGCTCACCAACAATGGTGGATAACGCAGAAAGCGCTTTACAAAATGGACGGATGGATTGATATTGTTATTTAAAAATCAGTAGCCATAAAATAAAACAACTTAAAACCAGTTGATTAACACCATTATTAAGCAGTATAATATTTAACTGAAAGTAATTCTATAACTTTGGCTACAGTGTTGTTTCCCGAATATCCACCCACTGATTGATGAGGATGCCCTTTTGTAAACTGCACCTCAAGAAAATTCCAGAGGAGAAAAGAATGCGTAGGAAGTAATTTCAATAACAACAAGTGCGCCTTTAGCTTTCCAAACGTGTTATGCTGCTTTGAGCATGTTCCCCAATCCTGCAGCCAGAAGGAAGCATTGCAGCTGCAGTGACAGACTTCAGGGGCGTGTTGTGTTTCCTTAAGAAGGTGCCAGTCCAGAATGGACCGACAATTAGGCCGCTTTTAGTGACATTTTATGGCACCGACAGAGCCGCCTTAAAAAGCCTGCGAGCAATTCAGAAAGGGAACACAGTGGGAGGTCATTTGAATCCTGATTTAAGAGTTCAGTGCAAGTGAACGTATGGCGGTACTGTTTATTTTTTCAAGCAGAGCAAGGGGGTGCCTTCAGGGGGGGCAGTATCAACAACTCACTGCCCCAGCACCGTGAAGCAAAGCTGGAAAAGTAACAAGTTGTGACAATGCGTTGCTTTGCTCAACTAAACAGGACAAGTGAACAAGTTGTTCCCCTTGGCCTGCGCCTTTGGCCCCTTGCAAAGGCGGCATGTGAGGGTATTTTACTCAAACAAAAAGCTTGTTACGTGTGGCATCCATCTCGCTGTGTGTGGGAGGCGGCGGCCTCCTTTCGCCATCACTCTTTGTTTTGCATGGGAGCAGTTGTCATCGGTTAAACACACACACGCACACACGTCGAAAAATCCGAATGAGCACATCTTCCAAAGAGGAAATAATCAGGAAGGTCTGACACAAAGCATGGCGCGAGACCTGAGGGTGGGACTGCTTCATTAAGGTCGGATGAACAGTAGTTATTCAGTCCTGAGCTTTCTCATTGCTGTTAAGGCAAGTGGAGAATACATTCGGGCTGCACAGCATATGGAAAAAATATCGGATATTGCAAAGACGTGGGATAAATTAAACTTTCATTTGGAGTTGTCTGCTTTGATGACTTTGGCCAGTCAGATGCAAGCTGAAATGTGCATCGTCATCTAATAAGAAAACAGTAGAAGGTCATTTTGCCAGATGAAAAGAAAAAAAAAAGTATTTCTTTCAAGAGATCATAAAAATTTCATTTCTTCAAGGCACATGCTAAATATCGCATTTATATTGATATTGCGATATTCAAGACCCATATCACACATTGCATCTTTTTCCAGTATCGTGCAACACTAGTATACAGTGCATGTAGTGGGCACAACATTGGCTCCCTGCCCTTGCACCTCATCCAGTGTGATTCATCGATATGTTTGCGATCATTTCGAAGTGGGATTTATGAAAAGTTTTTCAACTTTTAGGTGCCATTTCTAATCAATCTAAATGACTGAGTAACAATCATATTTCAAATCCTACAGTATGCAATGTGCTTTGGGTGACTTTCCTCTTTATAAATTGTGAACTCACCCTCGGATGGCAAGTGACAGACAGAAAGCATCCAGAGGACGATTATTGTGTGTGGATGGATTTCATGTCGCTGAGAGAAAAGACATTTGATGACACGGGTCGTGTCTCAGGCAGCTGCTTCATATTCTCTCCATGTGCAGTGTAGCAGTGTCGTTGAAACGCCAGCGACCCCCCCCAACTGCCTGGCCTGACTGATGGGCTGCAAAGGCAACTGTGTGGGAAACTCTTGCTTGCCAAATGGATACTGTGAGTTGGAAACGATAGTTTTTAACACTCACGTGTGTAACTCTTGCCGTCGTAATACTTTGCAATTATAGCCGATGAACAGGTGAGAATGATGATGATGATGTTGTTGCACTCTTGTCATCCCACCATGTGGACACATGCCAAAAAATCCAAAGCCAAATCATCAAACCAGTGAATCAATCACGGATATTCAAACGTAGAAAGCAAGAAATTGTGACCAATTATCCCATTCCATCTTTTAAGAACAATTTTAGGAAGTCTTTTGTTTTTGGTTCACAATGGAAGGTCTATTATGGGATGCTTGTGTAATATTGATGTGAAAGAACTTGATAGGACTCAGGGCGACCCTCAATCCAATGTTAGCATTCTAAATGTTCTTCTGGATGAACGGACAAAAAATAAAGTCCCAATTCCAAAATGCTCTTCTATCCATATAGAGAGTTGCAAGAGTCACGCACAAAGTAGATTAGGAAGGACTTGATTGTCTCAATTACCGGTTGGCTCTCATCCCGGCAGCTACACTGTTACTCCAATAGTTCTGGGGGGGAAAAAAAAAAAGGCAGCATGCTGAGAAAATATTTAACAATATGGAGCTTTCTGGAGATGGATGTGGAGCCGCTTTCAAGAGTTTTTTAAATCAACAGCGTCGCAGATTACAAGTCACGCTGTGAGTCTTGAAAGTCAAAACAACAAGAGCACCTTTTAAAAACATGCGCATTCTTTCTTTTCCTCAACAAGCTTGTTGCATGACAGCGGCTCGCCGAATTAAGAAACACCAGTTTGGACATGAAGCGAGGAGCCTCTTGAGGCCCCAAGACGCCATAGCCCATAGAACCGGTCTCCTTTTCATAAAGACTTTCTCCAATTGTTTTCACATTCAGCCGGAGGGATTTGAAGACGCGAGTTGTCTCGCTGCCCGTCTTTGTCCGCGGGACTGACCATTGGGACCACTGACACGCTTCTTGCGCTGCCCGCCTCCTGTTTGGGTCAACAGGTTTGGCCCCGCCAAGCCCGCTCACCATCTGTCTCTCATTTGAGCTCCTCACCATTGGCTCATGTCATGATTGGAGCAAAACATGAGGTCATAGATCTTTCGAGATGATTCTTCATTCGCACCCCTTTCTTCTTCTTCTTCTTCTTCTTCTTCTTCTTCTCCTTTTCTCCCTCGCCCGTCACCGTGTGCCAGCACCACGGGCATGGGCAACCACCACTATTAAATTTAATGTAAGAACATAACATTCACTCAGAGCCTGTTAGTTAGAACACAGAGAAGACGAGAACATAATCATAAAAACAACTGCATGTGTTGCTATTGTGGTGCTTTGTTTGTTTGGATCTCCATTAATGACGACAATAGTTGCTTCCCCTTTGGGTTTGAACATTACAACTTTCAGATGTGCTGTGTAAATAGTCCGACCCAGAACAACAAATTAGTTTTAATGATAAAGTTTACGTGAGAATAGTAGTAGTGGTAGTGAAGAAGGGGGGGAAAAAAACTGAAAGTATGTATGTGGGGGGGAAAAAAATCGATTCCAGGTGAAAGCGAGCATAAAACCTGCACTGGTTGATCGAAAACAGGTGCGAAGCAGGTTGGGGAACATTTCTTGGCCTCCCAATGGGTTTGAAAGTCACACACCCTTGAAAATCCCATCAGCAGCAGAGTGCCAGTTAGATGGACTGCCGAGTCTCAGTCATCTAAAACGTGCCGAAGCCTGACTGCCGCTCGGGGGTCTTGTAGTGGAAAAGTCAAACAATGTGGCCGGCGGCGGTTTTGTGAGTGGAAATGCAGCCAGCAGTGACCTTCGCATCACGGGAGCAACAGTCGTTGTCAAGCACCTTTGCTTTCTTTCCTGCTTTCCGCATGTGCATGTGCATGTGCATGTGCATGTGTTCGGGGGGTTTTTTTGTTTAGTTTTTTTTTTTTTTTTGACAGTGACAGCACAGCACGAGTTTGAGTAGGAGCGGGATTGTGACAATGACTCTGAAAGTGGAAACGTGACCAACATTAGATCTTGCGACCCCCAGAAGATATATGGAATGGGAAAACAGAAGAGCTTGAACTGTCCGAGTGAGCTTTTTCTTTTCATTCTCCCTTGGTTCCACAAGAAAGAATCCTTCTTCTTGAACCACTTCAAGCTAAGGCATAGAAAAGAAAAGAAACCCATCAGCAGTGATCGCATCCAGTGTTGAACAATATTTGCCTTGCTCGCCACGGCTACCGAGCAGATGGCTCACCTAGAAAGCAACATCCCAGCTTCGGTCTCACAGAAACAGACAACGCAAAGTGTCTATCTGAGA